TGGAAAAAGAAATGAGGGGCAGCGGTGGCATCAGGATGGGTGTCACCCGGTGCGACCGCTGCGCATGCGTTAGGACTAGGGTTGCCACCTGTACAGGATTCGCCCGCACAGTGCTGGTTTTGAATGCCGTGTCCGGGTTTCATGGCAGCTGAGAACCGGACACAAGATGTCAGGCAGACGGGGGCAACCAAAATTAAGATAGGGGCTACTGGCCCCCCACTGAAAATAGTCTCAACTCTGATATTTACATATGAATGGGCAGAGCTATTTACATATGAATGGGCAGAGCTATTTACATATGAATGGGCAGAGCTATTTACATATGAATGGGCAGAGCTATTTACATATGAATGGGCAGAGCTATTTACATATGAATGGGCAGAGCTATTTACATATGAATGGGCGGAGCTATTTACACATGAATAAGCCACGGCTCATTATCCCCCCAAAAATGTATGTGCGTTGCTTGAGTGTTCGGGTTTCGCTTGTGGAAAAGGTGGCAACCCCGGAACAGGAGCGTTGTCACCTCAAGACATGAGCATTGTCACCCCATTACAGGAGCATGGTTACCCCAGGACAGGAGCATTGTCACCCCATTACAGGAGCATGGTTACCCCAGGACAGGAGCATTGTCACCCCATTACAGGAGCATGGTTACCCCAGTACAGGAGCATGGTTACCCCAGGACAGGAGCATTGTCACCCCATTACAGGAGCATGGTTACCCCATTACAGGAGCGTTGTCACCCCAGGACAGGAGCATGGTTACCCCATTACAGGAGTGTTGTCACACCATTACAGGAGCATGGTTACCCCAGGACAGGAGCGTTGTCACCCCATTAAAGGAGCGTTGTCACCCCAGGACAGGAAGTCTGTTACTGGCAGGATCACCGGGTGGAAATAAAGGAAAAGATCCCTAAAAAAGAAAACAAATACGCTGTTAGCATTTCATTTCGGAACGTTCTGATCATTATTTGGGGGTTCTGATCAATTCTAACCGCAGTGGCAGAAAAAATAAATGGGACTCGGAGAGGGATGGAAAGTCTTTCCGGAGCGGATGAAATTCTAGCAGTAAATTAGGTTTTTTTGTTCAGGAAACTCCGGTCGTTCCAAAAATTAAAAAAACAAACGACATTTGGAGCGCGTTTCGTCGATTCTCCGATTGGCGTCATTGAATGTTCTGACCCGATTTCTCCTCTGAACGTCCCCCATCGTCTGCCGCCAGGACACATCCAGGGCCCGGAATGCTGCAACGCGTCACATTGTTTCCTCTTCAGATACATTTACAATAAAATGACCATTTCCAGGAAGTCTCATAAAAGTTTCTTTTTTTGGGTGGGAAGCGCGATAACGAGAGAACTTTGACCTCGGCGGCGTGTTTATGGCCGGGGAGACGTGTTGTAAATCTTCCATTTATGACACGCGTGTACAATCGCGGCACAGATATGGAGGAATGGTGATCCGGCGCATCGTACATTCCCGGGAAAGGAATGTTTTTTTCTGTATGTTCGGATCCTTCTGGGAATCACAATGGCGCGCCGCACGCTCTCGGCCTCTGATTGGTCGCGCTATTGTGGTGAGGGACACTTCTCAAGTATTGTCTGTTCTAGGAAATCAGATTAGCACCTTCCCGACCGGCCCATGCGCGGCGGCACGAAGGTGGGCTTTAACACTGCCGCGTTCTGTGCTATAGGCGCGCTTATTGTGAGTGCCCAGCGGGGACCAGTCTGCCGCCAGCAGCTCCCGGCAGGGCCGAATTTCCCACAAGGCCAACCAAGGTCCGGTCTCGGGCAGCAGGGAGTAGAGGGGCTGCAGGGAGTAGAGGGGGCAGCAGGGAGTAGAGGGGGCAGCAGGGAGAAGAGGGGGCAGCAGGGAGAAGAGGGGGCAGCAGGGAGTAGAGGGGCTGCAGGGAGTAGAGGGGGCAGCGAGGAGTAGAGGGGCAGCAGGGAGCATCTCTTTTGGATCACCTGGGGGCCCTCAGCAGGCAGAGCAGCATGTTTGCAGTGTGCCTGCCAAGGCGTCCCAGGTTGCAATGAGCCGGGCGGAGAGCTGTGTGAGGGCCGCTCTTAGCAACCTGGGGCTCTCTGGTTGGTGTCCCACTCAGCTCCGGGCAACCAGTGACATTATTGGTTGCCAGGAGCTGAGCGGGACGCCAGCCAGAGGGCGCTAGTAAGACTTACAACATGCCGGTTCTGCCTGCAGCCCCTCCCCCTGCCCCACCGGTAACCAATGACGTCGCTGTTTCTCAGGAACTGAGTGGGACGCCAGCCAGATTTACAATATGCCAGCCCCCCCCGGCAACGGGTGACGTCACTGGTTGCCAGGGGCCTGGCGGGATGCCGACCAGTGCTGGGTGGGGGGAGGGTGCAGAGGCCCCCTACCTGTTAGCGTGCACACCAGCACCCTCCCTTCCCCCGTCTCAGGCTAGGGACACCCCTGCTTCCTCCTCATCTGTATAACACGGGAGGGGAGAAAGTGTTCTGTAGTTCACAGCGCAAACTTGTAACGATGTTAACAGGAGCGCAGGACGTTATGGACTCACCGGATTTCTGTCAGGATCAAGTTTTTTTTTTTTTTTGGCATTTCTTTCAAAAAAAGCTTTCAGTGGTAAATGATTGGCAGGGTTTAAATTCTTAAAGGGCCAGCGGCAGAGGTACATTTCAAGGCACTGAAATCTGCAGGGACAGAGTGACTTCAGCCGCCCTCCCAAAAGGTGTGTTGCGGCTCCGCCCACTACATGGCTACAGAAGTCACCAGGCACATGTAGGGGGTCGCAGCATGCGCACACAGATCAGCCTCTGCTGCATCCTCTCACCTTGTTACAGCGTTGGGCTACATTCACGCGACTCTCCTGCGATGTGAATGAGTTTCGGCGTGTAAGGAGCAGTCCGGAATTCTTCCCATGGGTACAAGTGTAAACTTTTCATTGACTGAGGCCTAGTGTTCTATATGGGGCAAAGCGGGGGGAGGATATATAGGACAGGTGCGATGGTAAAGGGAGGGGGAGGTGTGATGGTAAAGGGAGGGGGAGGGGAGGTGCGATGGTAAAGCGAGGGGGAGGACAGGTAGCATAGCGCAGCCTTTCTCAACCAAGGTGCCTCGGCATCCTGGTGTGCCTTCTGGCATGCTCTGGGGGCGCCTTAGGTGGACATGCTGCACACCTACACGCATGTTCCAAGTGCGTATAGGGCAGGCGTGAAAAACGTTCGGCAACGTGCTGGCGTTTACACGCGTATACATCCGTACAGCGTTTGTGAGAGTCTACTTCTATAACATTCCATTAAATCTATGCACCCACATTTTTGTTGTCACCAGAACAGAAACAGATTGGAATTCTTCCAAGGGGGACACTAGTTCTCCTGACCACCAGGGTGATATCCCCCTATGGCAATAAGTATTACCCACAAACCCCCCGGCCTGGGTCACCCCATTTCTAGCACCCCCTTCCCCCGTATACTGCCTCCCCTTATTGTTGATATCATGTCATTCAGAGCCCGTCTGCCACGTGTGTACAGCCAACAGAAGTCACGTGGTTTCCTAACCGGCGAACCCACCCACACCGAGGGGCGGGGCTGCAGATTCGTTAGTTTCCGGCCAAGATGGCGGCGCCCGCTTTGCTGTGGAGGAGGCTGAGGGGACCCGGGCTTCTGGCGCTGCTGGCCCGGCTGTGTGATCGAAACCGTGACCGGAGGGGCAGGTATGGGCCGGCGGAGGCCGCTGTGGAGCCTGTTATGTTACCTGCCTGTCTGTGTGCCCTGAGGTCTGGCAATGCCAACTCACCTGGCTGTCCTGTCATCTGTATGTCATTACAGGCGGGGCCCCTGTACTCGGTGTGGGGTGATTACACGGCGCTGGACACGTAGATTTTATGGTTGGCAGTGCCCATTCCCGCTCTCAGGCATTGGCATACAGTGCTAGCGGTGCCCATGTCATATAATACATGGCTGGCGGTGCCCATGTCATATAATACATGGCTGGCGGTGCCCGTGTCATATAATACATGGCTGGAGGTGCCCGTGTCACATAATACAAGGCTGGCGGTGCCCATGTCATCTAATACATGGCTGGCGGTGCCCGTGTCATCTAATACATGGCTGGCGGTGCCCGTGTCATATAATACATGGCTGGAGGTGCCCGTGTCATATACATGGCTGGCGGTGCCCATGTTATATAATACGTGGCTGGAGGTGCCCATGTCAGCGTTCTCTATGTCCTGGGGATGTTATGCTGGCAGTGCCTGTGTGCGCTCTCCTACATTCTCCCATGGACACCTCACATGCTGGGTGGGTAGCGGTGCCCGTGTAGCATAGATATCACATGTATTCACTGTGGGCAGTTGCTTGGGTCAGTTGTATGATGTATGTCAGGTACACGGGGTTGACCAGTCATGCATTCTCTGTACATGTAGTGCTGGCGCGGTGCGTTCTTCCTCCGTGTGCCGGGTGTATTGTGTTGGCAGAGGAGATATTTGTGACACGTCAGAGCCGTGGGACGGGCAGCGGTGAACGCGTGTATTCGGACCCTGTATGCCGGGCACATTGCCGGCAGTGCCCTCCCACCGGATATTTGTTACACGCTAGAGATATGATTCAGGTGATGCTCATGTTACCTGCACACCATAGG